AACAAAGTAATGGAAGTTCTAGTTAGTACAATAAAGCCAAAAAAAAAAAAGAAGGTGGCATTAAAGGCATACACATCAGAAAGAAAAAATAACCATCCCTATTCTGTCATGTCTATGTAGAAAACCCTAAAAGATCTATCAAAACTCCCAGGACTAATAACTCCCTCCCAGGAGTTCAGCAGGGTTACACAATAAACATACAAAAATCAATTGTACTTTTATATTCTTGCAATGACCACGTGGACACAGAAATTAAAAATATAGTATCATTTACAAACACTCAAAAAAGAGATAAATACTTAGGTGTAAATTTAACAAAACATGCATAGGATTTGTGTGATGAAAACTTTTAAGCATTGCTGAAAGAAGTTAAAAAAGACCTAGATAAATGGTGAGACAAACCATGTTCATGGACTGGAAGATTCAATATAGCAAATATGTCAATCCTCCCCAAACTGATATACAGGTTTAATGCAATTTCTATAAAAATCCCTACAAGATTTTTTTTTTTTTAGATATAAAGATTTTTCTAAAATTGATATGGAAAAGCAAAGGAAATAGAACAGCTAAAACGACTTTGGAAAAAGAAAGAATAAAGTAAGAGGAATCAGTCTACCTGATTTCTAAACTTATTATGTAGTTACAGCAATCAAGATTGTAAGGTAGAGGATAAACCAATGGAACAGAATACAGAACCCTGAAATAGAAACACATAAATATGCCCAACTGGTTTTTGACAAAAGTGTAAATGCAATTCAGTGGAGGAAACATGAACAAATGGTGCTGGAGCAATGGGACATTGTTGCTTTGTGTTGCTTTGCCCCCCACGGATTTGTCACCCCACTTCCTCTGGGTGACAGAGATGCAAAGGATTACTCAAAGCCCATCTCTACTGAGCAGTGAGAAGCCCCAAAGTGGTTAACTTTCCTGGGACCCTCCAGCAAGAGGGATCCCTTCCTTGGGAAAATTAAGGCCAAATTGGGGTTCTTTTCCTGCATTTATTTTCCAGGCCAAGAAGTTACAGGAAGAGAACAAAGGTGGGGTTATAGTTTAACAGTATAGGCTGGTAACTTTCAGTGAAACAAGCCAGATGACACTCTGGTAGACAATTAAGTGATCTTATCAACTCAAGCTTGATCTTAGCAAACATTCCTTCTTATAGCAATTTCTCAGTATCTTTACATAACAATCAGTAACTAGTCTGTCTTTGAGCCAGCAACCTGCTGTGCCACAAATCTTTATCTTACACCACAGACTTATAGCCTGAGGAAAATTTCTAGTCCTCCACAAGGTCAATATTTGAAACTGCAAAGCTTTGGAAAACCAGGCCCTGTGAAGTACATATGCTTTATAGTATATTCCACAGGACATCTACAGACAAAAAAGGAGAAAGAGCAGAGGGGAAAGAGAAAAAGGAGGAGGAAGAGGATAAAGAGAACCAAGACCAAAGTTCCACACCTAATTTAAAAATTGACTCAAAATGTATCAGGAATTTAAATTTCAAATGTAAAACTAAAAATCTTTTACAAAAAAGAAAAAAAAAAACAGAAGAAAGTCTTCAGGATCTAGGGCTAGGAAAAGAGTTCTTAGACCAAAAGTATGATCCATAAAAGGAAAAGTGGATAAATTGGACTTTTTTTTTTTTTTTTTTAAAGATGACCAGTAAGGGGATATCAACCCTTGGCTTGGTGTTGTCAGCACCACGCTCACCCAGTGAGCTAACCAGCCATCCCTATATGGGATCCGAACTTGTGGCCTTGGTGTTATCAGCACCACACTCTCCCGAGTGAGCCACGGGCCGGCCCTAAATTGGACTTTATAACAAACTTTTGCTCTGCAAAAGACTCTGTTAAGGGGCCGGCCCGGTGGCGCACTCAGTAGAGTGCAGTGCTTGGGAGCGTGGTGGCGCTCCCGCCGAGGGCTCGGATCCCATATAGAGACTGGTCCGCTCACTGGTTGAGCGCGGTGCGGGCGCGACACCGAGGGTTGCGATCCTGTTACCGGTCACGAAAAAAGACAAAAAGGAAAAAAAAAAAAAAAAGACTCTGTTAAGGAATGAAAATAGAAGCCATAGACTGGGAGAAACTATTTACAAACCACATATCTGACAAAGGACTAGTATTTACGATATATAAAGAAGTCTCAAATCTGGACAGTTAAAAAAAATCAATTAGAAAATGGGCAAAAGACATTTCACTGAAGAGGATATACAGATAGAAAATAAACATATGAAAAGATGTTCAACATCATTAGCCATTATAGAAATACAAAATGAAATCTCAAATGTGATACCACTTTACACCTATTGGAATGGCTAAAATAAAAACATTGACAATACCAAATGCTGACAAGGATGCAGAGAAATTGGATCACTCATATACTGTTGGTGGGTATGTAAAATGGTACAGCCACTCTGGAGAGCAGTTTTGCAGTTTCTTAAAAAACTAAACATGCAACTACTGTATGACCCAGCATTTGCATTCCTGGGCATTTATTCCAAAGAAATGAAAACTTACGTTCACACAAAAATCTGTACATAAATGTTTGTAGCAGCTTTATTCAGAATATCTGAAAACTGGAAACAACCCAGGTATTCTTCAGGGGATGAATGACTAAACAAATTTTGGTATATCCATACCATGGAATACTACTCATCAATAAAAAGAAAGGAACTATTGATATATGCAACAACCTGGATGAGTCTCCAGATAAATTATGCTGAGTGAAAAAAAGCAAATTCCAAAAGGTTACATTCTGCATGATTCCATTTATGTAACACAGATTAGTGTTTCCCAAGAGTTGGAAGCAGTGTAGCTATAAAAGAGCAACAGGAGGGATCCCTGTGTGGCAATGATCTGTATCTTGACTGTATCAATGTCAATATTCCAGTTGTAATATTGTATTATAGTTCTGCAAGGTGTTACTACTGGGGAAAACTGGAAAAGGGAACACAGTATCTCTTTGTATCATTCCTTGCAACTACATGTGAGTCTACAATTTTCTCAAAATAAAAAATTTAATTAAAATATGACATGTGGTTTCTCTCTCTTGTCAGAATCCTGATTGATAATTTGAACCATTCATCAGACCAGAGAATTTCTCTTCTATTCCTAGTTTTAGTCAGAATACGTGTTGATTTTTACCAATGGCTTTTTCTGCATCATTAAAAATAATCATATGTTTTTTTCTCCTTTATGGTGAATTATAGTGTCTTACTTTTAAAATGTTAAACCAACTTTGCATTCCTAGGATAAATACTACTTCACTGTGATGTATTAATCCTTTTTTATACATTGCTGGATTAAATTTGCTAATATTTGCTTAGGATTTTTATGTCTATGTTTGTGAAATGTCTTTCAGACACCTACAAACTAGGAATGTTATTAGTTTCCTGTGTAGCCTTCTACACAGGAAGTGCATGTACAAGCAAATACTTTATCAGTCAGGATCTACACATACATATTTTTCAAATTTTGCAAAACTGTTAGTATTCTATCTATGCTACTTTTCACCTTACTTTTTTCTATGGCATTCTATTTTTAAAAGATTAACAAAGACCTTAGCAAAATATTAAAATTTGACAAAGCTGGATGGTGGCTAAACAGTAATTTGTCTCATTACTCTCTATACTTTTCTGCTTCTTCCTTTCATTCTTTCTTTTCAACTGATCCCTGGCTGAAGGATGGAAGATAGATTCAGAGGACAGATTGAGGACATAAAATCTGGGTTCTGTATGCTGTTCAGGAATACAGGGATGGGGTAGCCTGTGTATCCTCTTCACCTAGCAATGGCCTAACGCATAGTAGATACTCAGTAAAAGCTGATTGGATGAATTAAGATTTCTTTAAATGACACTCCAACTGCAACACAGAACCTCTCCCCGCCCCCAGGACCTAGCCAGTCATTCCCCCAGCTTGGTGGTGGGCGGGGGGGGGGGGGG